TGCTTGCAAGAAACGCATGGCGTCGCGCGCTGACCGCAAGGAGTTGCGACGCTTGGGCGCCTCCGCTCGGGCACTCAGCACCATGACCATCATCGGTTATAGAGTGTAAGATTTAAAGAAGTATGTATTAATTTGTAGGTATTACAATGACATAAACATAACTAGTGGTTCTTCGAAATGGCTCAGACTTTCTCGTATCAGTTTTTTTATTTCCTATGGTCTCGGGTAGCTTTTTGTAATTTTTCAAATAAACTCCGCTAGCTGACGAAAGTCAAGATTATTCCAACCTTAAAATATCAAAAATATACATACATACGAGTACAAATATACGTATACTAGCTGGAAATTAGTTCTGTGATTTTGCATTTAACACTGTTAATCTGAATGCGTGGAATTTTAACAGGGTACTTTACACACGAATTAATTCAAACGCATAACCCGTTTGATAACAAATAGCAATGTTGTTTATAAAAATATTTTTTGTTAAAAACAAATTTGATCAATTTTTGTGTGTTTTTTAAATTGAAAATTAGCTGTTTGTGCTTCGCTGTGCGCCATTAGTCCTTGCGCAGGAAACATCGCTGCGGGGCTTGCGCTGCGCATGCGTCCAAAGCGTAGGTGAGATCCGCCTCGCTGCACTAACCCAGATACGCGCGCGCGGGCAGGCGATAAATCGGGCGGCGCGGCGGATGCCCCTCCACGTTCGCTTCGCCTCGCCTCTCCTTACTTCTCCTCTCCTCCCCTCCCTTCCCCTCTTCTCTCCACCGTCTCCGCCTTCAACTCCGCCTTCGCGTTGGCCTCCGCCTGCTTCCGCTTCGCCTCCGCGTCCGCCTCCGTCTCTGCCACCGCCTCCGTCTCCGCTTCCGCCACCGCCTCCGCCTCCGCGTCTGCCTTCGCCACCGCCCCCGCATCAGCCAACATCTCCGCGTCCGCCACCACCTCCGTCTCCGCTACTGCATCTGCGTCCCCCTCCGGGACCGCTTCCGTCTCCGCGTCCGCTTCCGTCTCCGCGTCCGCTTCCGTCTCTACGTCCGCTTCTACCTCCGCTTCCACCTCCGCTTCCACCTCCGCTTCCACCTCCGCATTCGCCCCGCCTCCGCATCCCCCGACATTCTTGTGCCATCCTGCCGCTTTTCTCCACCTCCCGTTCGCTCAGCTTCATCGCTCCTCCCCATCCGCCCCCTCGCCACTCCGTTCCCCTAGCCCCGCGCCCTAACCTTTCGCCCGCCCTACACGTCTCACGGCAACTCCGCCGCCCCTATCCTGCCTCCTCACTGGTCTGCCCCATCGCCTCCCGACACCATTCACCTCCGCCCGCCTCTCGGCTGAAAGGGGGCGTGGAGCAGCGGATGCAGATCGGCGGCCCCGTAAATCCCGCTGGCGGTGGCCGGGCTAATTTCATGCTAACGACGAAGGGCCCCGCGCTCGCGCGCACCCGGGGCAGTGGGTCGGCGTTGGTCCTGTGCGGGGCGATAGGCCCTCATCCCTCTCCCCTCCTCTCACCAGGGGATCAATGCGCTCATTGCGACGCACGGGGCCGTACGGCTTCTCGGGGTCCGGCCGTTTACCAGCCCCCAGCATGGCGTTACTCCTCTCAAACACCGTCATTCATGCCTTCTTAGGAATACGCCAAAAACGTAACGATAACGTAACGTCGTATTGAATTTAGAATTTACTATCAATATTACTAATTGCAAAATTACACATACATTGACAGAAGACTAGGCAACCGCCGAACATGTGACAGATGACCATGGTTTCGTTAGATACCAGGAAAACTTAAAATACTAAAACAATGGAGTTTTGATCTGTACTGAAAAATCCAAAATTGACTGCTATTCCCCTATCCTCCTACTCGGCGTATCAACTGCGCTATCAAACGCAGTGTGTCAACGCTTATGCACGGGCGATATCATACTATAGCAAGGCTCCAAGGAAGAGGTCGCCTGCTATTAAATATTTACTAATCACGTGTTCCGTTATGGAGTATCAACTTTTTGATATTCTTGGTATATAAAGAACTGTTGTACTGAATATACGGTTCCCTATGTTATTGCAGTATTCGTGAATATTGTTTTTCTTAAAATATTTAATTTGTTTCAGTTTTATAAAATAGTATTTTATTTGTTTTCGAGCAGGTTTTTTGCTACTAGTTTTGGAGAATTCTTGTGTGGTTTTCTTCAGAAACATTTTTGTGCTGCAGGTCACAAGTATTATATATTTTGTCGTGGCTTTTTTATGTTATTAAGCTAATTTTGCGATTTGATGTCGAGGACATTTGTTGAAAGCAAAATAGGGACGTGTATTTCGTATTTTCCTGGAAGTTACTGATTTTCTAGTTGTTACAAAGTCTCGTTACGATATGTTCAGGACCTACTCGCAAAAGTTTTTGTTCAATTGTTGCGCAAAATGTATGTTAAATGAAAGAAGTACCTCCATTCGTTGCATAGCAGTAAACTAGTGATGGCTGTATTGTCTGCATCATTCAACCGTCATTGCTCTTGTTGAGCGTGCACAGGTGCATCAGCAATTATGTAAAATCGTTACAAGAGATGTGGAGCGTAATTCGAGCTTGCTATGTTACATAACTTGGTATGTGGATATTGGAGGTGGTCTATTTTACGTTCAAGTGCACGTATACACGTTATCGTGAATAGTTATTAGTATCGACCGGCATAGATCGGCAAGTATCGTAATACTTGAGTGTAAACAACATTACCCTGCTTCATGTTGATTTCATGAATGCTTTTCAGCGTACCTTGTGCACTGTAAGGGGAATAAAGCTTATCCTGCATTTCTTCGGTCACAGCGCAATTATTTTGAAATGCAAAAATATTTTAACTTGCATAACAAGAATAGTGCTCTACTATTATCATGAGAAAAGTGTATTTTAGGCAAGGTTTCATCACTTTTATATGCATAAATCTTGTTTCCAAGATGTTTTCCAAGATGATCTCTTTTAGTGTACTCTTTTGAAATGTTTACTTTGGGAATACTGTGAACACTACTACCTAAGGAGAGTAACAAACGTATTTCTTCAATAGCAGTAGTTTTATTAGGCTAGAACAATGAAGATATATGTTTGAGTTAAAACAGTCGTAATGGTTATGGTCAGCACTCAGCCTATTTTAATCAGTCGCTCTCGATGGCTTTATCCACATCATCAATGTTCAAAGAGTTGGTGAGATACGCTTTATAGTATCAATGACAGAACGCTCGGCCCTGTAAAGAAAAAGTTCACTTCTTGTTCTAGTTCACATGTTTCTTTTTGTCCCCATGCGATCTGTATGCCATTGACTTTAAGTCGTTTTTGTGCAATAGCTGGACTTCGTTGAAAGAAACCACACTGCATGCTCTTGATCCACCATACCCTCTGATTACGACACGACAGCAGCTGTGGTCATTATTCCCGTTAGTGTCGTGGATTGTTTCTGTCTGAAGGAGACGGTGTTCCTTCCTCGCAGGTCGGTGAATCCCTTTAGTGGATTGTTTTTCTGCGCGAAGGAGGTGGTGTTTCTCCTCCGCTGGATGGTGATATGCGGCGCCGATCTGCATGTCGGTTTGTGGGGGATTTCCCCTCAAAGTGTCTCCTCCAGTGGGACACTGCCCCAACCAGGAAATTCTGTTAGCTGCCGACTGGTTTCCTGATATGTTGTAGTAAAGTGCGAGTTTGTGTGTGTTTGAGAACCGAGGATAGGAGGAGGAGGAGGAGGAAATATCACACGCGGCTCGTGGCCTGTTTATTACGGTACTGCTGCGGCATTTGCTTGGTATTGATCATCTAATCGTCATGTGGGAATATCGGGCGTTCGTGTTTTGCGGGTATGAGAGGGGCTGTGTGAGTGATACTGCCCCGTTGCAACAGCTTGCCCTAATTGCCGGGCGAATCGTCGGTCGTGGGCGCGGAACATTCGCGAGGTTGCCATTAAATTTTCGTGGCGGGGCCGCCAGTATGCCGTCCTCCATGAAAGGGGTTGTTGGCAGCTGGGGAAGAGAGCTCTCAGCGAGGCTTCTTGCAGGTGTGTTCGTGAACTGTTTTGAATGTTCCAGTAGTTCCGTGATCCAAGATTCCGAGTTAGAATATAGAATGAGGGATGACGAAATTGCGGAATAGAATAGATAGAAAAAATAAATTGGAACATTAATGTTTTTTAAACGCAGGGTGTGATTAGGACGTGGTTTAATCAAAGGCGGCTTGGTTATCAGGATAACATTGAAGAAGAAATAACTTTTAGAATATCGCAGAACTAGGAAACTGATATTCTTCGATGAGATGCTGCTTGATGCCGGCCATTGCCTTTAAGAAAACTGATTTGATGGTGAAATCAGGCATTGAGCCTACTCGTGAATGAAATAATTGGTTCACAATAAAAAAATTCGGGCAAAATGTTGAAAATATATGCCAGTGATTGATGAAAAACAAGGCTTTATAAAAATGCGATGTAAAGAACGGATCAAACCGGATAGTTTGTGGGCGGTGACACTAACGCGATTACACAGGGTGTTTGAAATTAAAACCGATGCGGGACACATTTCAACGACGGACCCCACATTGTAGTTGTAGTGAAATTATCACTGGCCAGTTTTTATGCTGACACTGTAACTCGTGAACTTTTGTAGTCAGCGCGCGCTCGGTTTTAAAAATCCTCTCTCTTTTTCTATTTGCGCGCGTATAGCGGCCTTTCATGCCGCTATAATGGCGCTGGGAATGCTGGTTTTGTGTGCGCTAGAAATACGGCATGACATCCGGATTTTTTCTCGGAGGATTCATCGTTGTGGATTACCGCCTTTGTCAGAATAACTATTTAACACTATTCTCGATTTAGCTCAGCTACACGTTTTGTGTTGCAAACCAAATCTTTATAATGTATTGCCTGCTAAATTATATTGGTTAGTGTACAAGAGTGCAGGATGTAATTTTGCCTTTCTACTAAAACGTGAGTGTTAACTTGTTCAATAATTTCCAAGTGAAACCTTACTTGATTGTTCTTTTGTTGCAGGTGAGTGCTCTGGAAGGTGCGGTGTCTGCTCGATACACGGGCGTGTGATGAGGTTGCGCAGAGCTGCTGTCTGTGCCTGCCAAGCAGAAGCAGTAGTGAGGTGGATCTGCATACGAGCCGTGTCGCTCCGTATCTTCAACTCACGAACTTCAAATGTTCCTCTCACAATCCCTGTTTCTCTCTCCCATCCTTGACTTCATCGGGTCTTCCTGCGCAGTTGAGTTGTGTGGTTCTTTTTCGTCTGGTGTGTGATGTTGCGTCTCATGTTACCAGATGAGATTTCTTTTCAAGCTTTTTGACGTTTTTTTTTATTCCCATTGTGTATTTATTGTTAGTGTAATACTTTAATTAGTGTAATAACTTAATAAAGTTATACTATTATTTTGCTCATTTTTTCCATCGAACTCAAGTACTTCAAATGTCAATATTACCCCATTAGGATCCAATGCGTTAGACGCTAACCATCTCCTCAACTCAAAATTTGTCTTCGTCGGATTGTCTTAATCATACATTCTCTTGTCAAATTCTTTGATTAATTTTCATTACTCGAAATATTATCTGAATATTTTCGCCTTGTCTCCTCCATTTCTGCCTGCCAGCTCCAACGGTTGCAATTTTGGACGACTCTCGTGTTTCATAAGCCCCGACTCCTGGCATTGCCTTCTTTCGTCGAGCGTCCATTTCACGCTGGGTGGTCTCACTGTGGTAATACGAATACTATTAACGACCCTCCCTTCTCCTCCGTTCCCTTCCGTTGCCTTGTCTTGCCGTGCCCCACCGCGTTGCTTCTCAGCCTAGTGAGCTAGGGTTCACTGCCAGTGAAATCGCCGCATCGCGTCCCAGCGGCGCGACAGGCGCGCGCGCGACAAGAGGCCGCGCGAGCAGACCGGTTCCCCCTTCCCTGCCCCGGTCGCTCAGCCGCTCGCCCGCCTGCCACCGCCTTCGCCAGCGACGGAGGCGACGTGCCGGGGCCAGTTGGCTGCCCCGCGCTGCGACAGAGAGAATGGCGCGACCGATTCTGGAGAGCTGCAGTAAAACGGAGAAAGTAAGAACGAAAGACGAGAGAGAAAATGTAATAATGTACGACGCAATTGGTATCTCGATTAATCAAATACTTCAAAATAATTATGTTTAAATCCACAGAAATTAATTAATTGAAATTCAGGCTATTGGGTGCTAAGGAATTAACTTTTATTCTACAATGCATCTCTTCATGTACAACATTTTTGTTTTGTTTGGAATTTAATTTATTAAAGAGACAAATTAAAATCAAAAAGAGAATAAGTATGGCAAAGCATTTACAAGCATAGTTACTGATCATTTTTACTTTCTCGCCTTTGTAAGAAATCACCTGAAATGGGGGATTTTTCATCAGAAAAACGTGTTGCCGAGTCCTGGAAACGGAAAAAAAGTGGATAAATATTGTTCCCGTACGTAGAAAATTAATTCCTCTAACATGTTGTGTAGTCAGAATCCACGTTTTATAAGTTTTTAATTACTAAAAGTCGATTGGTCACAAAACGTTTGTGTATAGTCAACGCTAACGTCTGATCCGTTCAGATGATTTTCTCTAAAATTGATGTTCCTTGAACGAACTAAACGAACTCGAGGCCCAGTGAGCTTGAAACGAATATTTTAATTTTAAGGATACTTCACCTGATGCCTCGGCAGTTTCAAACTTTGCTCAAAAATGGCACCAATTTTTTTGATTAGACTTTGTCCTCAGATACCATAAAGGAAATGGCGCATGTCTCATTCTGAAGATAAGAGGTTTTCGTCGTAAATGGCATCTGTTCTAAAAAATATGATATTTAGGAAAGATCATGTACAGTTTGTTTAAAAAAGGTCATTTTTGCTTAATTTGTGATTAAGAGTTAATACATAAAAAAAAGTGTATCTCAAAACGTCTCCAATTTTGTTCTTCAAATATTATTCGTGTCTAGAGCAAAAATGACTCTTAAACAAATGGTGCGCGTCTAATTTTGGTTAAACTTTCTTAACTTTCAAAATTTGCAAAAGTTATAATAATGCGAGAAAGTATGTGCCACGGCTGATTGTTTTTAAAAGAAAACGGCGCACGGCCTAACTGCCAGTTGAAATTCAGCAGCTTGCGGGTTGTAGATCATTCGTGTTATGATAAGACGTGAAAGGTTGCTGTATAAGACACTACTTTCAGTCTACAACTTAAAAGTGGTGGTGTCCCAAAGGCGGTCAAATAGAAATATCAGGATATCAAATGCACGAAAGAGATCGATTATAATGTAAAAGTGTTTGAAAAGCCAATGTTCTAACAAAGTATTTGGGAAAAACAAAAATCACGCCAATCTCCCATTGCTCATAAAGACCGGACAGTTACTCATAAAGAAATAATAAAGCTCACGTATATCTAACCCATCAACTATATGGTGATGAGATTTGGTTTTCGATTACATCCACCTATCCTGTAGCATTTACATGTCGGCTGCGTGTCAGTGGCACTATTGCACACAGACTTCACTCGCCATTCGTGTTTGAATATTGTACTGCGCGTCTCTCGCCAACTGACACCTTCATTACTCTGCTGGACAGATATGACGTCGCTTCATCGCCGCTGAGCGTGGATCGGGAGCTGGGGCTGGCGGTCCGACCGACCAATCTCTTTAGCGGCGGAATGACACTAGTTGCAGAGCGCGTTGACGCGCCGCGCTTGCCTACAACATATTGCTTTCTCCACATTAAAAAATCATCGTAAAACAATGTTGTTTTTTTTAACATTCTGATGCATAAGTTCATGATACATTTAATTTGTACTGTTATTATATTTGAATGACATTTCAGAACATGCATTTCCAGAATATATTTCCTCTGAATAACTAACGCGAAAAACTAAGATGTTTTAGAAATTGCGAATAATGATTGACATATTTCCAAATCTCTTCTATCCCTTCTACTTACTTTCTTGAAAAGTCTTCAAACAAATGATGACAGACTAGCGAGCATTCTATTAATTTAACGATTTTATTAAAAAATATTGTTTCAACTATAATATCTGTTGTAGTAATTGTAGTACGTCATAACACATCTGGGGCCCACTACCTTTCATTTAAAACAAAAATCACAAAATTTCGTTGAGTAGAAAGCTCAAATTTCTTTCAAAATGTAAACCTTTAGTGTTTTAAATACAAATATATTCCTCTGTAATATTTTCAATTAAATCAAGTTGTGAATTGTAAATTTGGAAACTTTTATGAGTTTTTCAGTTATTCAGACTTTCTTATTTTCGACATGCTTCAAGACAACGTAAACTATTCGCTCGATGTTCTCGTTACAACGAACAAGTGGAATGCCCGGCAGTCGATGCAAACGAGGGAAATATCGAGCGGGAAAGAGAGGCGACGCCAAGCGGGCCTCTTACTCGGAATTATTCATTGTAAGAGCATGGCGCTTCCGAGTAGCGCGAGCAGGCTCTGCAGAAAATCACAACTACATCAACTCCGAAAAGAATATGCGGAACATTAGTTAACGCCGTGGTGTAGACGGCTGACATGCTCAGTGCGTTGTAGTGTTGTCTGACAGCTTAATGTGGCTTAAGATTCAATTTGCAGCCCCTACCCTCTCGCCCTCCTCGGAGGGGTGGCGACATGATCCTCCAACCGCATTTGCGATCCTAGGAGAGGGGGGCGTTGCAACCAGAACCTTGGGGCTCTGAGAACTGTTGGTTCACTGCATTTGCTCTTTTGAAGACATGTTTCGAATTGACTATTCAATGTTGTTCATAAACTCAATTTTCGCTATTATGTTTTAAGGTTGTATGGAAATACGTGTTAAACAGTAATTTGTTTTCATAATATTTCTAATCGTATTCTAATTTTTCATATGTATTTTTACTTTCTCATCGACGTACGTATATACGGAGTATTATTTGTAGCACAGAGAAAGTTCGCCAATATTGCGGCGAAAAGTGCCGTTTTATTATAGGGAAGCCCGTTTTGTAGCTTCTTAATGCACTAAAAGAAGAATATTCTTCTGGAATTTTCTGTTGTTTTTTCTTTTTCAAAAGTCATTTTGTAGCACAACTAGTTTAGTAATTTTACTTCTTTAGTGGAAGTTCACAGAATGTACTCTTGTTGTAAATATTATTTTATTTATGTATTTATTTATGCCTGAAGGGTTATACTTTTGAATGTTGAAATATGAATTTTGAAGAGTCGAACATGGCATCTACTTCTGCAGACTGTTACATAAGAATGAGGAAGAAAATTGTGTACCTGCTTTTCGAAAACTGAAGAAATAACAACATTGTGAATGGTAGAAATTACAGCAAATATGAAAGTTTGATTCCAGAGAGAGTAACAAATAAGAGTGAAGAATATCCAAACAACAATTCATTTTAGGTAAGGTTCCTCTTCATGTGAGCCAATTCGTAGGCCTTGTGTATTGTCTCAATTTAAGAGGGAAACTTACTTATTGGCTAAACTGGACAATCATTACTCAACATTGACATTAACAATTCATCGTCCAATGCGAGTCTCCAGATTAGTGAAATTGTCTCATGAATGAAGAGCAATCCGAAGCCAGTATTTGGAAGCTGCTTGGGCTCTTCGAGCGACCTGACCTCGGCAGCTCCAGCGCGCTTTCGTTCCGCCCCCATACCCAATCCCTGCTCGCCCACGCCAATCCCCACCCCGCCCCCGGGGCAGTCAGCTGGGAGTGTCACTGCCCCGCGTTTGAAGTTGTCATTGCAGACGGCGGCTACATTTTCCAGTTATTAATTCGGCTGTGAGCGCGCCCGATTTATAAACCCGGTGGAAATTCGGAGCTGTCGCGCGCGCGTTTCGCCCATGGGGCGTAAATATCCGTTTATTTCTGGGCGGGCGAGAGAGCGGGTTGGGGAGGCGGGTGGGCGTTACACAAC